CGCCTTCCTTTGTATCAGCATTACCCAAATCAATTTCTGACAAAAGAGCGGCGAAAAAGCAAAAATCTCTCGCTAAAATCGTGTATCTGGACCTCGGAACAACCTCTCGCCATACATTTCCTTCTAGTGAGTTGCAATGTTTGCCCCGTGGCGATCCCAGAAATCTGTGCGTAAACACAAGGATCCGATTACTGGCAACTCATTCATTCGCATCGCTTTAGAGAACCGTTGTGTCGTGACTCGAGAGTTTGTTCTGTCACCTTTAAGACCTTGACGTCCATTATTTTCCAAACAGAGTATTCTATAGCATTGCTACTTTATATTCTGAGTTCCACAAGGTCCAACTCGATCGCAAAGGAACGAAAAATCCGACTTAAAAATTTTGAAGGCCGACCGTTTCATTTTCAAATATTTGATCATTTAGTGTGAACGCATAGAACGATGCCCCTCTAGTACCCCCTAAAGCGATCAAAATATTTTTGCAAACGAAGGATTCTGATTGGTTTGTTGATCTCCTAACGTTATAGGAAGTTTGGGGACAAAATTCTGCTTAGTAAGGGAGGTAGGGGCGGTTGCGGGTGGTTCAGGTGTCAATGTGTTAGCATATTATATTTATACTAATAATATATTTGTTTCGTTCATCGCGGAGCTTACATTTTTGGTTGCACTATATCTTAAGTTGTGAGTAATTTCTAGTGTCGTTTCAGGGCGGTTAAATACGGTATTCTAAGTAACAACAGGTGCAGTAAGTTACATGCAGTCATCGACTGCCTATTTTTATCTTTTATCTTGATTTTAGAGTAAAAACTTAACATGCATCTATCGCTTTTTTCGTTGAAAGGAAGTTATTTAAATGGTCTTCTCTCACTTGAGCTTGTTTCTGGGAAAAGATGATTTATAAAACTTTACTGCGCATTGTGTTTACTTTCCGGTTTCTCCAAAATTTTAACTTTTGGATAGGCACGTGTTACACGTAGGTGTCAATGTTAATGCACGATTGTTTTTAGTTGCTTGGAACAAACGACCAAATCTTAATTTGAAAAAAATTTAATGAAGATGTCACACATGTACATATCCTATTAACCCTTTACACTGTTAGGTCAGTATGAATATTCTCCATACTGTTCTCTGTACATTTGTTAAGATGCTGACAAGGAGAATTTGTCTTACAATGAAGTGCTTCCTTAGTTGGTGATCATTTCTTTTATTCTCGTAACCTCCATGTGTGATTCAAGGGTGATGTTGTAAGGAGAAGTTAGATGCTAGTCACTCTTAGGGGTTAAAGGGTTACAGTCTTCTTCTTGGTCCATACTGTAAGCAAAGTTATGTAACAACCTTATTCAGTCCGGGCCATAACCATTTCTGGATACTTGATGACGTCACCAACATGGATGTCGTAGTGGGACCTCGAGGAAACTCATTCATTACTTTATTCGAGCACTAACGACTTTGTTCCCTACCCATATCCCATGAAACTTTGCAAACTTGCACAAGAACTTGTTTTCGCTCGAGTGCACGAATGTTGAAAGCTTGTTAGTGTGCAAACTACTGGACGGATTCCTTTGTTCAGATCCATCGTAGTATCGTGTAAACTATAAATTTTAACCATACGTCGTGGCCGGGCAATTTAAAGCAAAAGGGCAATTATTTATCAGACCTTCATAAGCCTACATTGTGAATTTCAGAGCAAGCCAACAGCATGGATGAACACATTCAATATCTCGAGACACTTTGTCGTCTTCGTGGCACAAATCTGCCACGGACCAGGGTCGGTGCTACAAACAAAGAATCTTTTAAATCGGAGCTCTGGATGAAATTTCGAATCAATGTGGATCTTGAAATCAGAGAGATTCATTCAGCCAAGGCGAATGCACACTAAAAAATTATTTCAGGAAATCACGGATCTTACAAATAAACGTGATTATCCAGCGAGTAAGTTCTCCTTCGGGCAAACATAAAACAAAGAGGTATTCGTTCACTGGGCTCTCACATCTTCAGGTATCGTATCCGGGAAATGTGCGATAAGAGCGGCATGAAGATGAAAATAAAGAAATCACATTGGTGGAAAGCCTTGCCGAAATGTCTCTATTGACAGCATTCCGGAAACAAAGGCTGGAGTTTAACTACACGAACTGATGAGAGTGAAATTTTCGTCTACAACCACGAGGGACTTGTCTGTAATTGTGAAACTCGTTTAGAAACACCGCTCGTGCTTTCACATTTTGCAGTGATTACCTGAACAAAATTTCTATACAGGGTGTTCAAATCAAAGGGTAAGTGTAAAGGATTTACTATTGCTGACTCAAAGCTGTAGGACCGAATTTGTAGTGTTCTGAGACCTAGATTCTCCCGCGAATCGATCGATAGCGCGCAAAATAACTTGTATGATTCTCTTGCATTGAATTCGACCATGTGTATTCGTCTTAATATAGATTGCTACAACTTGCTTTTATTTTATCCCACTCATGTGTTTATTGGCGTTTATTTTCCAGGTATCATAATTTCAAGATCAAAGCTCCACGTGGAACACCGCTTGTTATTCAAAGTGAAGACGACAACACGTATGACTCGCATGCACTGGCTTGTCTTCTTCCACGAGAAATGGAACGCATTCGAGAAGCTCTACGAGAAGTCCAGATTTTCAGCAAATCGCAGAGAAAGACATACACTTTAGAAGATGTCAAAGGGCAGCAGATCGGCAGGGTTCAGCACTTTCTAAACATACAGCTGCATGGTTTGCTCCGATGTGGCAAAATAACCAGGAATTAAAGGGTAAGTTACTGTTTTCTTGCTTCACTGTTACTTTTTTGCAAAGGCTTGATGGACTGAAATTGATACATGTCTATTTAAAAATCGGAGAGAAGCAAGATATTGTCTTTCCTCGACCTATACTGGAGAGGAATGAAATTTTCCCGATTTCGCGATCTCACACCTCTCTCGTCCCAATTATTATCAGTGCGCATTATTTGGTTTAACCTTATTTAATTGGTTTTCTTGTAACCCAAAATAGGGAAATCAACGGAGAACGGACAATAACATCGAGGCCAAGCTTTACCCAGAAGTTCTCCAGATACAAACAGGCTGGCGGAGGAGCTCTTACTCCTGTGACGCTCTTGGTGGAAGGGCCACAGCGTTACAAAGAATTTGCGCTGGAAAGAATCCGCTGTACTCTTCCAAAATGCGAGAATGTCGAGTACATGCATGTTGAATGGTCGAAATAAACGAATATTTTTAATGGTATCTTACGTCCAGTCCTTATTAACGAATTTTGTTTCGGCTTACTACCGCATTAAAACATGGCCTCCACAAAAAAGAAAGAAATCAGCTTCTTCTTGTTTCCAGCACCTCTCGGCCAAATTTGCTTTGTTTTGGTTTTGATCTCACCCAATCACAAAGCTCGAAACTGGTATCCAGAAATGGTTATGGCCCAAACTGTTATTGTTCACACCTGGGCCATAAACCTGAACAAAAGAAACGAGGTGCCGAAACTTACAGTACGGACAGGAAAAGATTTTAAAAGAAATGTGTTATATGTCTGGCATCAAATTGAAGAAAAAAGGTTTCAAGTCAAAAAAAGTTTTGAATCTAGGGGGCGTTACAGTAAAATACGACATGCCAAATTGACCGATGATAGCGCGCACATTGTACACGAATTGTACTGAAGGGTGAGAGAAAACAGAGAACTGATTAAAATTTTACATATGTCAAAAAAAATTATATTTCTCATGGTGCCTGGTAGGTTACAGAAAAGGCGAGTGTTTTTTTCGTGCGTTTTTTAGTCGAACGGCAAGTGCGAGGCGAGCGCGAAATACGAGTCACGTGCGAGGAGAGAAGCGTTAAAAAGTGTAATTCACCTTCCTCGTGCGTGATTTGCGCTTTACGCTTGCTTTGCTGTTCCCTGTGCAACTGGCAAAAGCGAAAAAAGGCGACGCTTGTTCTGAAGGCTATGTGGCTGAATGCAGTTTTCCAAGAAAAATAAATGCTTGTATGAGGCACGCTTAACCGTGTCAGTTTGTGGCCAGCGGTGCACCAATTTTCAAAGCAAATCTTCAATTATGAGAAATGATACGAAAAAGACCTATGTCACCCAAAGTTTACGAAAAGAAATTGAATGGTTCATAGAAATGTTCGAAAGGAAACAAAATTAAAAAAGTGATAGATTTAGAATTTTCAGACACAAAAATTTACCAAATGGCCCGTTCAACCCTGCACGTGCAATCACCTAGAAAACTATAGCAGAAGCAGATTATGGTCTTCTGCAATACTGAGAGGTTGGACGGGCTAACATGATCGGCTGTGGAAAAAGCGGAAGCAGTTACAAGGTTATTAACGTATCACAGAAGGGAAAAAATGTTACTTTTTTTCAATTTCCTGAAAATTATTATTCTATTCCTGCTAAATAAACACAAAGATCTAAAATTTTCCGAAATTTTTATTTTGTTATTTTTTTTTACTTTTGGAGATATAAAGAAAAACATGATTTGAGAGCAGAAGAGAAGGCGCGAGGTTGATGACACTTCACGTCAACTTCTTCACCTAGTTAACGAATACAAAACCACTAATGATTTACGATCGCGCTATGCAGCGATATTTCATAATTTTGTAAAAACGACGCATTTTGTGATATCGGTAGCGGCATTTTGTAAGGGCTTACACAATTTGTAAAAGGTACTGCAGCGTTTAGTAACCAAGGCGACCTACTCGTTTTCTTAATAAGGACTGTAGCAATTTTGTAATAATCGTTGGTCAACGCAATTTGGCACAGATATATTGACACATGGAACAGTTTACCGTCATCGGTAGTTGAACTTAACTTAATGAATAGTTTTAAGAAGGCTCTAAAATCAACATTATTTAACTTGGCCTATAAGTACAAAATTAAATTATTCTATATATTGTACATCATTTAATTATTCATCGTTTCAAAAGAATTTTTATCTTAGATATGTCTTCTTTACTTAGATTTTATACTTATATAAATATATGCTTGTATGTAAAATGTTGCAGTGTGTGTATATATATATTGCATAGTATTAAATATTTACATTTGGGGTATAGATTACAATGAGGATTAAGTTCCTCCCTTCTATAATCCTTTTTTAATAATAATATATTATATATGTTATGATTTAAATAAAGTTGTTATAAAAAAAGTTGTTGTAATCTCAACTTTACCACAAAATCTGTTCAAAAGTAATACAACGATTATCGTTCGATGGAGCATTTTTTTCTTCCGAGATTTCGACTAGATCTCGGCGATATCTCCGAAGAAATGCCGGGAACCAATGGGGTCCATTTTTCTAAGATCAACAAATTTTTCATGTTCATTGTAACTTTTTTCTTCTTCTTATATGTACAGTTGTGGTGACGGTTTCTTGAAGTGGGGATGGCATTTGTCCTTAGCATTTGAAAGGTGAAACCTCCCCTCCCCCACTGAAAAAAAAAATCACGAATACAAACCTTGATCAACAATAAGCATAAATACATTAATTACAGTTTCATTTTTACTCATAATTTGAAAGCAGTCTCAAGTTGGTGTCCTCAGAGATCTTTCTGGATAAGCTTTCAAGAGCAATTTGCATTGGTGTGGCTAAAGCACAAAGTTTATATGAATCTCGATGCTCGCCAAAGATAATGCCAAAAGCTTCAAGATTTCTATCTTCATCTCTTTCAAAGAGTACTGCTCCAGAATCTCCTTTAGTTGCAAACACTTTTGCATAACCAAGACCAAATGGATGATCTATACATAAGCAGTTCTTTAACCAAAGACGTTTACATAGAGTGGCTGTGTCTTTTTTACAAGAGTCACAAGCAGCAGCAGTAGACTCCAATTGCTCTCCAATTCCAGATTTTTTCTTACAACTTTGACAGAGTCTGACACGTTTCAACACACTGACCAAACCCTCATTTTGGGCATTCACTTCATATAAGGAAGCACTGAGAAACATTGATGGTTGCACATGACGACCAGACTTAGTGAATCCTGTGGTTCGGCCACTCTTGCACAGTTCTCCACTGGCTTTTAGTCTTGAACTGCATTCCCCACTTAGGTGATCTCCTGTTCCAATCATTTCAGCTGTTTGACTCTGTCTTAAACTATCAACTTCTTCTGGAGTCAACTCAGCCAGGGCAGCATCAACATAGTATTGTTGACCATCATTCCAAGTCACATTACCAGAGATGCCAACAGAGTATTTTGCTATGACCCTGGGTGGTGTCAAACCTTTCTCAAAAGCTCTTTCATGCAGCTCTAAAGCTTCTAATTTCCTCTTTGTCACCTTTGCATGGTGTTGGTGGTTTTCTTTAATCCTTTTTAGCTCTTGAAATTTATTTAACAATTCTTTCAACCCTGAAATATGGCCAAATGAGAACTTGTCTGACAGTATGTGGCAACTTTCCTTGTCAATGATGTGCTTAATCCACAATCCATACTGTTGTAAATGGTAATTTAGATAATTCAAATAATCATTCAGTGCAGGATGAATTATCTCTGATTCTGCATCATGTTTCATAAAATGATCACAAGACAGTGCATAGAAGGTTTCATCATCTTTCACAATGGCACCTAAGGTTCCGGCTGCATCCTCTCCTTGCACACCAATACTTGCTCCCAAACAAAGTACCTCGTCTTGTTCCTGTGCTTTATTTGGCAGCCAAGGATCATAAGTTCTGAACCATATTCCATCCACAACATCCACTGGGTAAGAACCAAGAGTGAGTGGGAAGGGACCTTCACCATCTGGGATGACACCTTTACATAGAACATACAATGTGATGCAAGGGGTTCCTGTCTGCTTAGAATTTGTGATTTTAAGTGAGGGTTGCACAGCAGTGATGTTACGATGCCTGACAAGAACATGGAGACTTTCAGATATAATTTTGTTAATTTCATTCACTTGAGAGTCATTCAATGCCTGCTGCATACCAAATGAATACTCAAGAGGTCTAATCTTCAGAATTTCATCTGCATCCCTGTAAAGATCAAACCATTCAAGTTTAACATCCATCTCCTTAAAACAATCTTGAGCAGCAGCTTTTAATGTTTCAGGTATGCCATACTTTCCAGAAAACACATAAAACTTAACCTTGACATGGTCATCATTTGTGTATGTTAAAACACGGACACATTCTCTGTGCTTGGCTTCAAACTCCATAGCCATAGCAAAAATGTTATTTGTGTTATGCTTAGCAGCCAAGGGTGAGAGAAGGCTTCCAGCAAAATCTTTATCTGAGGCAAGAAAAACTCCAGTTTGGAATTCTGTAAAAAGTAATATCATTAAAAGGTTAGACAGTCTCTCAGAACAAGTCAAGTTTTCCACATTTGTGGAACTTATCCCACTTAACATAACTTATTCACTCATGAGGATGGAAAAAGACACAGTAGTAACAGTAGTTGCTGTTCTGTAGATGTAGGCTGGACAACAAATGATTCTTAAACAAAATAAAAATCGAGACCATTTATTTGAGTCATTCATAACATAATAAAAAATAATTGGAAATCAATCAAAATCATATGGTAAAAAACTTTCAGTTCAATCCAAAAGTATCAGGTACTATCAAACAGCTGCGGAAGAGCAATAAACAGAACAGAAAATTGTTGCTAAAATGCTATCGGAGGGGAAGAGATGCGTTGAAATTGACCGCAAAGCAAATCATAAAAGAGTAAAGAATGGCAAATTTTCAAAAAAATAATCCAAGCTTTAGTGATCACAAAACAAACCCCGCTGGTTTTGTCCGTTGGTTATCTGTTTTAGTTTAACCTCGCTGTCTGATTGGTTGATCAGGACAATAGATTGAGGTGAGGTGTCTCTTTGGGGATAGGGTAAGTATTGAACATTTATCGATCGTACCACTCGTGGTAGAGAGAAAATTGACCTCGTACCCAAGTCTCCTTCGCGGCCGTGTCTAGTCACAGGCGGCCCAAGCTCCAGTTGTGACATGATCATCTCGCGCAATAACAGTCATGGCGGAATTATAATAGTTTGTTTGGGAATATTTACGACCGCTCCAAGGAATAAAGAAATACGTCAAATTCTCAAAAGAAATACCTCACCTTACTTCCACAGCGTATTGCTTGTTATCTGACCGTTTACTTTGATGATGACTGATTTCACGTGTGAAATGTTCATATTTCGAAATATTTATAGTTTTGAATCGACCATATTTCGTTCCCCAAATTATTCCCTATAACGTGTTCAAATTTTCAACGGTTCCTAACTTGCACTTAGTCACACAACGCGTGACGCTGTCATGAATTAATTGTTGACTTCTTTTAGAGACGTAAGCTTGAGCCGCCTGTGACTTAAATTGCACTCATTCGATAGATTTCTCAGTCACAAAAGCTATCATGACTTCAACAGATCTTCAGTAAAAATTTCAATGAAGAGTTGGAGATTAGCTAATGCAGAGAAAATGTAGAATGAAGCGTCTTACCTTTAGAATTTTTTCCTTCGAACTACATCGAACTACGATCTGTGTATTTTGAGCGTCGTCAAGCAGGCAAATTCGTTTGGGTTCGCAACGAATCAGGGGAAAGCCCCTCAAATAGATAACATAAGGGAAGGAATGGTAGGGCATCAAATTGTCGTTTCAAGACCTTATTGTTCAAAGAATGAGCACTTCGGCGCATGCGTGGAATAGGGCAACTGAGCGGTCTCTCAGCCGAGGAGATAGTAAGGAGAAGTTGTTGTTTGAAAGGCGATAGGAAGGATTCCATGACTTCAAAGGAGCTGAAATTACATAGAAATGAACACGCCGTTCGCGGTAGACCCACACGAAAAGAAGTTGAGCATATTTGGAACGGATCGGTCCGCATGCCGTACGAAAGATCAATTTACGAGCGAACATTTTAGTTAACCTATCAGGAATCATATTTTACCAAATGAGCTATCAAATCTTAACCTTTAAAAAAACCTTTTCAGAAGCGTCATCCTATTTTAAGACGTGATGGTGAACCAAATAGTATTCCAGCACGAACTCTACAATATCTCAGGAACAAGAGCAGAAAGGTTAGAGAATTTGTTTACAAATGTATGTATTTGAGTACACCCCAATCTTCGAAATGCATTGTTATATTAAGGTTAGGAATCGTAAGCTTAAATCCTTTGAGAAAATGCGTAAAAGTTTAATAAATTTAAAATCTTGAAGTAGACGGTATTGCTCACTGTTTTGTTGTAACAAAGTTATGTTTCTTTACAAGAGTCAAGCCCATGTAGCAAAATTATTGTAAATTTAAGCTGATCACAGATATAGAAAAGAACCCTGGCCCTCGCCCAGTGTATGTTGATCTCAGCAAAACAGTAGGAGCACCATATAGCCAAGGTAATGAATTAGTTTTTGGGCAAAATGCTGGACAACATTGTGTTGCAATGAGTTTGTACTGCTTGATTTATAACACCAAACAAGGAATCAGTTTTGCAAATGACCTCATTCTTATAATGAATATTGGAAATCACTTGGTATTCAAGTTTGGTTCAATTAGCCAGACAGTCCCATTTAATGCAGACAGAATTACCTACAAAATGTACTTGATAGTGACTATGAACTGGAATACAGTGAAAGTTACACTGGCACTGTGGTATTTATAAAGGAGATGTGTGCAGATGTAATATCTATAGATGACAACACCTTAGCACAGAAATTTCTATTTCTTGAGAACTTTGCTGTCACATATGACACTGACACTTTACTTTTTAATACATTGTGTTTACAAAGATATTTGCAGATGTAATATCTATTGATGAAAACACTTGTTTCAGGTATTAACACATAAGATCTTGTTTTGTTCTTCTAATATTATGCTGGAGTCAGATCCAGTTTAAAATTTAAGTATTAGTTAAAATTACTTCTGTTGTTATTGTGGAGGCACATTGGCCTCATGGTTAGTGTGCTGGACTGCCAATTGAGTGGTTCAGGTTCGAGCCCTGGCCAGGGTCATTGTGTCGTGTTCCTAGGCAAGACACTTTACCCTCACAATGTTTCCCTACACCCATGTGTACAAATGGGTACCAGCAAATATGCTGGGGGTAACCCTGCAATGGATCAGCATCCCATCCAGGGGGGGGTGTAGCAATACTCCTAGCCACTTCATGCTAAGGAAACCAGAGTTAAGCACTAGCCCCATGGGCCAATTGGGCCTGTATAAAGGCTTTACTTTACTTTTTTACTATTGTTATGAAAGCCAGATCAAGTTGTACCTATTGGTTTGATTCATTCTTCTGGTGATAAACAAAGGTTCAAATGCAAGAGTTTCAAATTATAAAGTGCAGGATTATAACTTCACCAATGTAGGTAATCATACAATACAATACAGTACATTTTATGGTCCATTCAAGGGACTAGGTTACCTAAGGTGTCTGAGCCTGAGGCTCAAACTATCCCTGGATGTAATTAACCAAAAATGACATGGAAACGTCTTATCATTCATTTTTATTCTTCTTAAGTAAAGACATGGAAACAGAGTAATTTAAAAGCAACACTGAATTTTGACAAAAAACTTCTAAACTCAAACTATGTGACGTCAAAAGAAAATCAGTGTAAAATAATAATTATATTTGAGGAAAAGGATTTAATAACCCTAACCCTAACTTTACAAACAAGATTTAAGTGTAGAAGATTTTTCGTAAACTATTAGATACACAAATTCCTAGATGACAATTTGATCTTGTTGCATATCTATCAAACACTTTCATAGCTGTATATGAAGTGACACACAGTTGTCGAAGTTTTGTCATTAACATGAGGCGATGGACATAAACTATATTAAAGCATGGCAATCAAGTTTCACTGAAAAACTGAAGCCCAATTACAGGCAGATATGCAACTAATTAATCTTCTTATTTTGATACTACAGGTGCTGTAATGCCATTTATTAAGAGCCATCGTAGGCAAAAAATAATGATATTTGGAATATATAATGAACATCCATTTTTTGTATTTTATGTGTTAGGAAGTTATTTTCATCTGATGTAATAGTATACATGGATTTTCAAGAATTATATTCAGATGATACTAGTTATCATAGCAGCCAAGATGATGATTATATGTATGATAGTCAAGAAGATTACTCAGATAGTAGTGATAGCTATGATGAGTTTTATTGATGATAGTGAATTGGATGATGATGCATTATTTTTATTTTGATGATCAAGGTAATATATTATATTTTACAGACAGGAGCAAAACAGGAATTATAAAACATAAGAGAGATTTAAAGAGGCCAAGAATGGTGCATAAAGAAATGCCTACACAATATTATATAGTAATGTAAATTGTAATAAAATAATACATGATGAAGTGGATGTTATAATATGCCCTTTTTGTTTTAGCAAATAAAAGAACAATCTGTTAAAAACATAGAATGTTGTAAAGGGCTGTGAATATATGAAAGTCATATATTTGAACTGCAGATAAAGACATGAATATGAAAGTGATCTTCACAGTTTTGAACACTACTTAAGCAGTAGTGAAAGGCCTCCTTTTCATTACTGCTGAATTAGTGTTCATAACTGCGAAGATCACTTTCATATTCACATAGAATGTTGTGGTGAACAGTGCCTGGAAAACAGATCATAAAGTTGTTTCAATTATTTCATTGTGAACAAATAGATGGTTAGGATCCAATACAATAATTCTGTAGCTTTCATGATAATAAACATAAAATAGTAAAAAAGTTAATATACTACTGAAAACGTCTCTTCGATAAGATAATCTTCAACTTAACCAAAAAGTATGGCATAATGATAATCACAAATAATAAAAATAAGATTGTCCTTGAAAAGATATACAATGTATCAATGGGGTTAGAAAAAACTGAATTGATTCATATCAATTACATAATTAAACAGATATTAAGTGATATGCAAATTAATACAGATTACATACAAATAACCAAATCAAAGAAAACCCTTGAATTCTATCATAACTACTGGAATAAAATCTTATAAGTAGTGACTTTATACAATAATAAATAAGTCTACAACACAATAATTCATCACAAGTAAACTTTTTTGGTATTGTTGCTCAAGAGCATCAACTAATGGCTGCATGTTTAGGAATATATTTACAGTTTTTAACCCTTTGATTCCCAGATCAAATTTGTAATTCTCCTTACTCTTAACCATACAATTCTTATAATGTTAGTGCAGAGAATTTAGTATTGGATCAACTATTTATCCCCAAATTGATATATCTTTATTCTCATCACTAATCTGGTTAATATAGCATTGATATTGTAAGGAGAAATTCTGTCTTGGTCACTCATGACAGTTAAAGGGTTAATTTGTCCAAATAACTCTCTTTATCAAATGACACTCCTCTCATAAAGGACCTTAATTCAATGAGTCTTTTTATAGGTATTAAGAGCAAACCAGCATAATTTGATTTTCTTTTTGAAACCTTTCATTTCACAGTATGTTTTTAGTCTCACATAGTTTGAAAGCAGGCAAGAAACAATGGAAATTATCTCTACCATTTGTCAAACAGAATATTTCATTTGATTTTGGAGCAACCACCATTTGAAAGAACAAGTGAATAACCATCAGTTTCACTGATCATGATTCAAATTTCAGTGAGATTTCTGCATCAAAAGAGACATTCAATTCGTAAGCACTGTCTCTGAGCAAATTAGGCAATGGTTAAACCTGTGAACAGAATCTTGATCCATACATACAAAGTCACAAAGTCCTCTTAACGAGAAGATTGACTGGGTAGTAAAGAAAAAGGAGTGGCACTATAGATATTGACCATGTTTGTTTCATCACTGAATATATGACAGCATAAGATCATCCATGGTATTTAATTAACTGCCTTAATACCTTTACACCCTAACATCAGTATGCATATTCTCCATACTGTTCTCTGTACATTTCCTAAGGTTTTGACGAGGTGAATTTGTTTCCTTTATTCTCGTGACCTTTATCAGGGTGTGTTTGAGGGGTGATACAGCAAGGAGAAATTAGATGCTTGTCTCTTTTAGGGGTAACAAAAGGTTAACACGAAGTGCATCATTACTTCTGTATACACATGGAAGGGTAGAACACCGAAGCTTTGTCTGATCACCCTTTATAATTTGCATGTAGTAGTAAGGATAGAGATGACAAAGGTTGGCAGATTGTTTTCTATTTCTATTAGCCCTCTACAAAATCTGTACAAAAGTAATACAACGATTATCATTCAATATAGCATTTTTTTTCTGCAGAGATTTTGACTAAATCTTGGCAACATTTCCAAAGAAATTCCGGGAACCAGTGGGGTCCATTTTCCTAAGATCAATTAATTTTTGTTGTTCATTGTAAATTTTTTCTTTATCTTATATGTACAGTTGTGGTGACGGTTTGTTGAAGTGGGGACGGCATTTGTCACTAGTTTTTGAAAGGTGTAACCTCCCCTCCCCCACTGAAAAAAAAATTTATAAGTGCAAACCTTGATCAACATTAAGCATAAATACATCAGTTATAGTTTAATTTTCACTCACATAGTTTGAAAGCAGTCTCAGGTTGGTGTCCTCGGAGATCTTTCTGGATAAGCTTTCAAGAGCAATTTGCATTGGAGTGGCTAAAGCACAAAGTTTATATGAATTTCGATGCTCGCCAAAGATAATGCCAAAAGCTTCAAGATTTCTATCTTCATTTCTTTCAAAGAGTACTGCTCCAGAATCTCCTTCAGAAGCAAAAACTTTTTCAGAACTAAAATCAAATGGATGGTCTATGCATAAGCAGTTCTTTAACCAAAGACTGTCACATAGAGTGTCTGTGTCTTTTTTACAAGAGTCACAAGCAGCGGTAGTAGACTCTAATTGCTCTCTTACTCCAGATCTTTCCTTACAACTTTGACAGAGTCTGACACGTTTCAACACACTGACTAAACTCTCATTTTGGGAATTTACTTCATATAAGGGAGCACGGAGAAAAATGGATGGTTGCACATGCCGACCAGACTTTGTGAATCCTGTGGTTCGGCCACTCTTGCACAGTTCTCCACTGGCTTTTAGTCTTGAACTACATTCCCCACTTGGGCAATCTGCTGTTCCAATCATTTCAGCTGTTTGACTCTCTCTCAAACTATCAACTTCTTTTGGAGTCAACTCTGCCAAGGCAGCATCAATGTAGTATTGTTGACCATCATTCCAAGTCATATTACAAGAGATGCCAACAGAGTATCTTGCTATGACTCTGGGTGGTGTCAAACCTTTCTCAAAAGCTTTTTCATGCAGCTCTACAGCCTTTAATTTCCTCTCTGTCACTCTTGTATGGCGTTGGTGGGTTTCTTTGATCCGTTTTAGGTCTTGAAATTTATTTAACAATTCTTCAAACCCTGCAATATAGCCAAATGATAACTGGTTTGCCAGCATGTGGCAACTTTCTTTGTCGATGATGTGCTTAATCCGCAATCCATACTGTTGTAAATGATAATTTAGATAATTCAAATGATCTTTCTGTGCAGGATGAATTATCTTTAGCTCTTTACTATGTCTCATAACATGATCGCAGGACAGCACATAGAAGATTTCGTCATCTTTCACAATTGCGCCTAAGGTCCCAGCTGCATCCTCTCCTTGTACACCAATACTTGCTCCCAAACAGAGTACCTCACTTTGTTCCTGTGCTTCATTTGGCATCCAAGGATCATCAGTTCTGAACCACATTCCGTCCACAACATCCACAGGGTAAAAACCAAGAGTGAGTGGGAAGGTACATTCACCATCTGGGATGACACCTTTACATAGAACATACAATGTGATACAAGGGGTTTCCGTCTGCTTAGAATCTGTGATTTTAAGTGAGGGTTGCACAGCAGTGATGTTACTATGCCTGACAAGAACATGGAGATTTTCAGAAATAATTTTGTTAATTTCATTCACCTGAGAGTCATTCAACACCTGCTGCATACCAGATGGATACTCAAGATGTCTAATCTTGAGAATTTCATCTACATCCTTGGAAAGATCTAACCATTCGAGTTTCACATTCATCTCCTTAAAATAATCTTGAGCAGCAGCTTTTAATGTTTCAGGTATACCAGTCTTTCCAGAAAGCACATAAAACTTAACCTTCACATGACCATCATATGTGTATGTTAAAACACGGACACATTCTCTGTGCTTGGCTTCAAAATCTATAGCCATAGCAACAATGTTGTTTGTGATATTTCTGGCAGCCACAGGTGAGAGAAGCCTTTTTGCTAAATCTTCATCTAAAGCAGGTACAACTCCTGTTTGCAATTCTGGAAAAAGTAATATCATTAAAAAATTAGACAATGTCTCAGAACAGGCCAAGTTTCCCATATTGGTGGAACTTATCCCAGTTAACATAACTTATTCACCCATGAGGATAAAAAAAAAGACAGCAGTAACAGTAGTTGCTGTTCTGTAGATGTAGACAGGACAACAAATAATTCTTAAACAAAATACAAATCAAGAACATTTATTTGAGTCATTCATAATAATTAAAACAGAAAACAATTGGAAATCAATCATAATCTCATGATTAAAAAACTTTCTGTTCAATCCAAAAGTATCAAGTACCATCAAACAGCTGGGGGAACAGCAAAATACAGAACAGAAAATTTTTGCGTGTTTAAGTTGTCTAAGCTAACGTTCAGTTAATTGCTTTCAATTGTTTCAATTGATAAGATTAAAACTTGGTGATTATCGACTCTGTTCAATTTCAAAATTGAAAAACAAATGTCAAGAACAATGGACGGAACAGAAAAATAGCAAGCCTTAAAGTTCCTTCAAAAGCTTATTATTTAATGATAATGAGAACACAATTATCAGTTATGATCATTGAATTTCTTGAATGATACTTGTCTGAATTTAGTGAAACAATAAACTTGTAAACATGCCTGAGGGGGCATTAAAAAAACAACATGCAAACCTCTGCTAACATGTTTTAAAGCATCGACGAAGACGATGCCCTTTTTATTTGGTTAAAGTCAGCTCTCCGAAACACTTTGTATGTGCTCACCTGAAGCCTGCCCAAAAAACTTTCGTGCAGCCATGTATTCCTCCATCTGAATAGTTGTCTCACTGGGGATGGTCTCACAATCAATCTGCATTCGAAGTTTAACTGTAAGGGGAACAAGTGTCATTAATTGCAACGACTAGCCATTCACAACAGAGGCAAAACAGACAATTACTATGAGTGGTTGTCCAGCTATAGTCAAGTAACGATAAATAATTGATATTTCTCCGCTTCAAAAATATACGAAGCCATTTCTGTCAAAATATGTGCACAATGTGCGCTGTACAGGTAACCCTGTCACAATTCATAAGTGTCTATATTAGAGGAAAAATATTTTACTTGTAAAAGATGTACAGAAAAAAATCAACAAGCTGACCTCCAGCTGAGGAATTGAGTTGGCTACCCAGGTTAAATTGATCTTGGATGTCTTGGGCTTCATCTCGAAGCCCTAGACTAAAGTACTGCACATCTTTAATATCTTGAGCTTCTCTCAGAGAGTCTTTGTTCCATTCTGTTTCCTTTGCAAAGCTGAATTGACCTGCAATTCTATCCAAAGCCTCAATAATTTCTCTCCAAAAAACTGAAAACTCGTCATCTGAGATTTCCATGTTTTCATTCACACGACAACAAACCAAATTGCGGTAGTATTTAATTCTTGCTAAATCGGCTTCAAAGCTGTGGTCTGTACTTGCAGGCAAACCATCCCAGCCCGTGGCAGGTGGGGTGAGGCCGCATATTGTCCTGAGCAACCAGAAAAGAAGGGTTATATCAAAGTCTGTTGACTTTCCGTACATCCCTGGGGAAGGGTATAGGCAGTACCACTGTGGTTTGGTGAGCTTTGCTGCCTCAAGGAGCTTCTTCGTGTCTGGATTCTGAAGTATTGTGGGAAGATTACTTGGTGGACATTTGATGTCAAAAGCCTGCCTCAATAGCACAGTACCTTTACTTTTAAAAAGGCGAGCCAGACGTCGAACATTGTCTCTCCCTTTCGAAGAACGAAGCACCTCATCTGGGTCCAGAGCAGTAGCCATTTGTAAATCTGGAAAACCTGAGGCAGGATCAGAGACCGGACCCTCCTTACCTCATGACCGCAACCCAAACTGTGAAAAAAGATCAACGGAGTGAACAGTTGATGTCATAAAAGACAGATATGGCTAATATTAAACATCCCTGATGGATGGATAATTTAAGAGAAGAGGATCAAGATGGATTGCTTTCAGTAATACTTAGATATTTTCATTCCATTTGGATATGATTTTGCTGGCAAGGAATCGTTGTTCAACAACTCAGATGTGTTTTCGTAAGCCTGTATAAGAAGAGAAATTCTACAAAATACCTGAAATACTCCGATCTTAGCCCCTTTGGCAAAAGCGACATATGTAGAAGGGTCAAATGAGTGACTTGAAATCCTAAGAACTGCATCTTATTTAAATCACATTTAAGGATTGTTGGCTCAAAAAGTTTATAATCCTTTTACTTTTCAAGCTTTTCAGTTTATGACAATGCCTAGAGAAACATGAGTATGCAGATGACTGTGAAACCTGATTTCCACTATTTTTAAATTTTTATTAACAAAAATAAATCAACAAAAGTTTGGGAAGTTCAGCATTAAACAGCTATATTAGTTCTCAGTCTCACCTGGTTGTCCGAAGTCTCTATTTAAGGAGGTGAATACATTATTTAGATACAAGAGACTTGAAATACGTTTGCTCAAAGAATAGAAACTAACGCGATCGTACATTGCGTGACACAAGAAAACACTTAGCAGTCACGACGTGGTTAATAGCCACCCACTTCGTTTACTCCCTATAATTTACAGGAGTAGATACACAAATTTTATATCATCATTCTCTCTCTCGAGGTAACAATGTATGATGCATCGCTTATCAAAAACAAAGAGTATCATCTATTCGCTGGAGCGGGGTAATGATAATAAAATAACGACACGCTGGCCGCTCTCATATGCATTATTCCCTGTTAAGGAATAAATTAATCGACGTCGACCTAAATTTTACCGAACAGAAACCGAACAAGGCTCAAAATACTAATAATTTTCTGATTGTACTGGTTTGTTAGTCAATCATCCTTCAAGTATCGCAATCTCTCAGATCTGCATTTGGGAGCTGGTTCACACACGGCACTCACTTAAATTGTACTAATTCGACGGATTTCTCAATCACAAAAGCTGTCATGACTTCAACAGACCTTCAGTAAGAATTTGAATGAAGAGTTGGAGAATACCTCATGCATAGAAAATGTCAGATTAAACGTCTTACCTTTAGAATTTTTCCTTCGAACTACATCGAACCACGGTCTAGTTCTTGAGTGTCGTCAGACAAGCAAATTCGTCTGGGCACGCAACGTAATGTCCTGAACTTGTGAGGCAGAACGGCAACGCCAACACCAACACCGGAAGTCGAAATAGAGTCATGTCCATTCATGTCCAGACTATCCACGCGCTTTCCCATTCTGAAATGACGTTCCCGTCCTCTTGCTATTAGGGAACTTAAGCACAACAAGACGGCGACGGCAACGAGTACATGGAAAAATAAAAGATCTTATCCGCAGAAGGATAACTCACACGTACGTTTTAAAACTTTGTACATTTCTTAGCCGTCCCATGCAAAACAACAACGTGAAATCCCCTCAATTTGCGTCGTCTGCGAACCGAAACCGCGACGGAAAATTATTTCAAAATCATTAGAAATAAAATGGTGGGCTGGGGCTTCGGAGGGGAGGGTTATCAGTAAATTTTTCACAAATTGGGGAGGATCAAACCTGTTTTATTCGCAACCGGGGGAGGGTCACAGTGTTTTTTGGCGAGGAAAAAATTACTCCATGTCGCTTAGTTAACTCTTATTTGTTGACAAACACGCGAAGTGTATAGAAACCTTAAACTTGTATATACAAGTAAAGCTACCAGTCAAGAAGTGTATAGAAACCTTAAACTTGTATATACAAGTAAAGCTACCAGTCAAGAAGTGTATAGAAACCTTAAACTTGTATCTACAAGTAAAGCTACCAGTCAAGATTAATCTTAATTATTTACAGGTGTCGAAATATTATATCAAAAAACTATCTTGGTATACTAGTAGTATGGAATCCTAAAACCTGTATATACAGGCAAAGCTACCAGTCAAGATTAATCTTAATTATTTACAGATGTCAATCCTAACACTTGTATATACAAGCAAAGCTACCAGTCACGATTAATCTAAATTATTTACATGTGTCGAAATATTAAAGCAATAAACTATCTTCTCCCAACAAACATAATCGTCTCTCTCGACCCGTTCCCGCTTTCGTCCATATTTTGACGGCGGTAATGTTCCCGCGCGGGGTTCTGGTGGGGGTTCTGCTTTGGCATTCGCGACTTCCGTTTTAGCGCGTTTCCCTGTTTCAATGGGAAAATTGACGCCACTTTGTCTCGAGCCTTCTCCAGCAGCTCCATGGTTTCGCCAACAGTCTTTTTGATTGATTTCAAACCATCCAGAAATTCTTCATTCGCATCATGACTAAATTTGTGGCCAGATAAAATATGTCGTCCGTTTTAATCGAACAGCGCATCACCTTCAGTTACTTTCTCATTCAGCTCATCGATGTTGACCTTCGGCTTCGAAAGGTCATCAATGTTGTTATAAATCGTGGGAGCATCATGGCGTTTTGCGCTAAAATTTTCCCCCATGAATCTCCCGGCAGTCGCTGGATTATAAGAAGTCACAAAAGCCAACTTGTGATTTATTACTTTTAAAGCCTCGCGAACTTCCCACTGACGCTTTCATTCAGTCACGAAACAGCGGCGATAGCGTACCTTGTAGGGACAAGTGGTCCAAAAAGACAGTTTGAATTTTGGCAGAATACTATTTGAGAATTCAGTATACTCCCCATTTGGGTTCGGGAACCACCCCAGGTCTTCATCTTTCCACTCCTCTGGACTTGCACTTTCACTTGTTCCCTGGTTCCGGTTGGAGGAGGTGGGGGGAGGGTCAGATGTGTTTGTGTAGGTATTTGTGAAGGGTCATGCATTAATCCATTCAGGGAAGTGACAGGGCCACGACTATTTTCGCAAAAAATTTCTAAAATACCCCGACCCACCCCCCCCCCAATAAAAAACGTGCCCTCCCTTAACTAGGTGACGAGAAGAAGTTGACGTGAAGTGTCATCAATCTCACGCCTTCCCTTCTGCTCTCAAATCACGTTTTGCTTTATATCTCCAAAAGTAAAAAAGATACCAATATAAAAATTTTGGAAGATGGTAGATCTTTATGTTTATTTAGCAGATGTGAAATTTTCAGGAAATTGAAAGAATGTAACCATTTTTTCCTTCTGTGATACGTTAATAACCTTGTAACTGCTTCATTTACTGGGAATCGGCCAAGAATCGACATCCTGTGAAAAGCTCCAGAATATCGCACCAGGAACGCTAGCGAAAGGTTCAGTTTGCTTACTAATTGCCTTACTTTTAATCCACGCAAATGTCATTGTCAAAAGGCACAAGGCCATCTTTCATATGTTTCAACTGAATTATGGTTGTTTGTGTGCGTGTGTATGAGCGTAATAAATTAGTGAGTTCAGAGGTCACCAATCGAGACGATTACCATTCAGAAAACTCAGCTCAGAGGAAGATACTCCGGAAGAGATCATTGTAGAAGACAACTGTTCAGAGCATTCTAATAGATCACGGCCTTATCCTGTTAAAATTGATTCAACTCGCTTTATTGTCAATGGCTTGTACAAGAATGTCTCTGGAATGGTTCTCGTGATTTTCCGTGATCGTCAATTAGAAGTAAACCATTAACGATACTAAATCGCGCATGTAACGATGTAATCAAAACCGGAAAGTAAATAAGTGCTTTTCTGAAGTGTTCCACTCTTTGAACAAAATAAGGTTAAAAATTGCATGTCCAGAAGTCTTGAACAGGAGAAACTGACCAAAGGACGACAATTTGATGCCCTACCATCCCTACCCATATGTTATTTTTTTGTTTGGCTTTTCCATGATACGATGCGAACCAATTCACTTCCGCTTCTCACGGTCTGAGGACAAATTTGCATGTCTGACGACGTTAAAGTTCGATGTAGTTCGAAAGTAAAAAACTCTAAAGGTAAGAAGCTTAATGTGACATTTTCTCTGCATGAGCTAATCTCCCACTCTCCATTTAAATTTTAACTGAAGATCTGTTGAAGTTATAGCTTTTGTGATTGAGAAATCTGTCAAGTGAGCGCAATTTAAGTGAGTGACGTATGTGAACCAGCTCCCATACGGAAGTCTTAGAGATTTTCATTAGTTTGGAATCTCTTAGAAATGTCGTTTGCGATACTTGAAGGATGATTGGCCAGCAAACCAGCTCAATCAGAATATTACTAGTATTTTGAGCCTCGTTCGGTTCCTCGTTGATTAAAACTTAGGTTGAAGTCATTAATTAATTCCTTAGCAGGGAATGATCAGAGCAGTCAGCTTGTCCTTATCTTGTTATCATTACCCTGCTCCAGCAAATAAAAAAAAATTGTTTTTGATAAGTGATGCATCATACATAGTTACCTCGGGAGAGAATGATGATATGAAATTTGTGTATCTATTCCTGTAAATCATAGGGAGTAGACGCAGTGGGTGGCAATCAACCATGTCGATCGTGACTGCTAAGTGTTTTCTTTCTTGTGTCACGCAATGTACCACACAGTCTAGCGAGCCTAGTTTCCCTTCTTTGAGCAAACGTATTTCAAGTCTCTTGTGACTGAACAATGTATTCAAGTCCTTAAATAGAGTCTTTAGATAACCAGGTGAAACTCAGAACCAATATAGCTGTATTAGTGCTAAACTTTCTTATCTTTTATTTATTCATGGTATTAAAAAGATAGATAAAAAGTAAACGGACTCAGGCTTCTGAGTCATTTGCGTTTTTAAGTTCTCATCGGCGCTGCCGTAAACTGAAAAACTTGAAAAGTAAAAGGATTATAAACTTTTTGCGCGAACTATCCTTAAATGTGATTTAAATAAGGATCTTCAGGAGATTTCAAGTCACTTGTTCGACCCGCAATATAAATGTATGTCGCTTTTGTTAAAGGGGCTAAGATCAGAGTATTTCAGGTATTTTTGTACAATTTCTCTTCTTATATAAGCTACAGAAAAACGCATCTAAGTTGTTGAATACCAATTCCGTGCCAGCAAAATCATACCCACATAACGTGGAATGAAAATGCCTAAGTATTACTGAAAGCAATCCGTTCTGATCCTCTCCTCTTAAATTATCCATCTATCCTATTTAAGCAGGGACGTTTTATATTAGCCGTATCTGTCTTTTTTGAGATTAATCATTCACTCTGCTGATCTATTTCACAGTTTGGGTTGCAGACATGAGGTAAGGAAGGTCCGGTTACTCATCTTACCTCAGTTTTTCCTTCATTAAAAATTGCTTCCGCTCTGGACTCAGATGAAGTGCTTCGTTCTTCTTCGAAAGGGGGAGATAAACGTCTGGCTCGGCTTTTGATAAGTGGAGGTGCTGTGCTATTGAGGGAGGTTTTTGACATCAAATGTCCACCAAGTTATCTTCCCACAATACTTGATAGAGAAGTAAAGGAATTCCTGGATATAGTAGAATCTTCAATGAAGCGTTTGGAGAAAGAAGTGCAATACTTAAGACAAGAGGTTCGAGAAGATGTCCAAGATGTTAAAGTTGAGCTCGTAGAAGAAGTAGAATCTATAGCCCAAGAAAGGCAGCGCTTAGAACAACACATCGAAGATGAGCTCGGAGAGCAAATAGAGTATGCAACCCAAAATGCGCCGTGCTCGATGCAAGACATCATATGTGAACTCGGAAAGAAAGTCGAGTCTACAGCCCAAGAGGTGCAGCGCTTGAGACAAGAGTTTCGAAATGAAGCCCGATACAAAGATCGATCAAACGTGGCTGGCCAAACCAATTCCTCAGCTGGAGGTCTGCTTGTTGATTTTTTTTTGTATATCTTTTACAAATAATATATATTTTTTCGCCAACATTGCCACCTACGTAGCGAATCAGGGTTACCTGTGCAGTGCACACTGAACACTTGTTTTGACATAAAAGGCCGCGTATATTTTTCAAGCAGGAAAAAAATGTCAATTTGTTATGTATAGTTACCTGACTACAGCCGGACGACAACTCATAATAATAGTCTGTTTTGCCTTTTTTGTTAATGGTTAGTCGCTGCAATTAATGATATTTGTTCCTCTTATAGTTCTAATTCGAATACGGATTGATTGTGAGACCATCCCAGACCCTTATCCGGGACTTGAGACATTAGAGACAGTAGTTGTAGCCATGCAAGGTACCCAAGCTTGTGGCGATGAGCTGGTAGTTACTGGAGCGCCAAAAGGAACGCCTGAAGGCACACAGGATACCCAGGCAGGATGCCACGAGATGGTAGTTACTGGAGTTAAGCGTAAGGCAGTGGATCCTGTTGCATCTGCTGGTCTAC